GGATTGAACTGGCTGCTTGTGAAATCGGCACGGTGCATCAGTTGGGCCGAAGCGCAATTTATAACGAGATGGAAAATATTTTCGATACATGAAAGCTTATTTATTGCACTGTTGTATTTAAAATATTAGTCCACGGATTGTTTTGTAGTACTGTTCGAACTAATTTTGTCGTCTCTTAAATTTGAAGGGTAAATTCGATTGTTAATTTCTCTGGTGAAATAAAAATAGTGTAGAATATGAAAGTATTATTAGAAGAAATAATAATAATACGAAACTTAATATATTTGCAGCTGATTAACTGATACTTAAATAGAACCGCACTTATTCGAACGAAATTTTAATCAATGCTCGATTAAGTGAGTTTAAGTGTTTGTGGAATCCACTTATATGAACGCGAACTTCATATAAATGGAGTTCTACCGTACAATGATATGCTGATAATTTTTGTAACCACTGTTTGTACTTTTTATGATACCAATCACAAGAACTCGGTTATTCTTTTAACGTACTAACTGTCCGCCATTCCATAACAATTTTATTAATTCCGCCACTTGCTCGTAATAAACCAGAATTGCCGCAACAAATATTCGCGACGTAGCGTTTCTCATTACGCGTTTCTTTTTTCAATTTCATTGAAGCCGAAGCCTTTAACGTGCCCGTTTCTCTTATATGCGATCGTATGGTCGTCCTGCGTGTCGTTTAAAAGTCGCGTTTCATTGAAAATTCTCTCACGCTCAAACATATCGAGGCAGGTTCGATTTGAATCAGAGATGTATTCGTAGAGAGCATTGGAACGGGTTGTACGCGCGTTCAAAAGCGCAGGAATAATTTCGTTATTCGACGCGCAACTGCGCCGCTATGTTTCCTGCAACTCGCTCCGTTATACGCGCCTCGATAAAGTCCAAAGTCTTATTAAACATTTAGTACGTTGCGCAATGGCGAAAGTTGCAAAGTCTCCGCCATAGCTTTGTAGCTGGATACGTCATCGTTCGACGCCGGAGACGGAATTGAAAATTCGAGGAGATCGGAAATCACGAATGAAATTCCTATACTAAAACTTCGTTTCCATCGAGCTTCTGCTGGACTTCGGTCTACACCTAATTCGATTTAAACCAGCCCACTGTTTGGTCGAGCACATTAGAAATTTAATATAGGAATGCTTCGCGAAGAAGATTTCGGCAGACTGGCTAAGCGACTTGTTGTTAGTCCGAGTGGGAAAGCATCTCACTTTTCTTTGATTCAGTTACATCGAGAACAGAGCCACATACGGAATAGAATGATTTTGCGTTCTTCTACTTCTTTCTTTCCTTTCGCACACTCTTGAATAACTTTTGCATTTTCTATTTAAATCGGTTTGTCGGGAGTATAGATTTTTCGATTTCCAAAGCTCGAAGATTTCGAAGCTTGAATCTCTGTATCTTCATATCCCGAGATCAGAAGCTGAGGTTTTTTTTTGGATTCTTCAGACTCTATAGCGCTGCGGATCACATAAATTTCTGAATCTAGTTAGCATAGATTTTCTGACCCCTAAATTCCAGTAGATTCGAGACTTGAATCTTCGAATATTTAAATTGTGCGTAATCAAGAGCCACGACTTTTACATCTTTTGAATTGTACAGCATCTGGATGATTTACTTCTGAAATTATGCAAATCAGGTACCTTGAGGAGAAATCTGGAGCAGAGTCTTTTACGATATTGTCGTAGGATAGTAATAATAATGGAATTCTTTGCATTAAATGAATATCAATAAAAATCTGTACTATTGACGAAATCACTTGGTAATCATGGGTAGTCATAAAGTAAAATTAATAATAATAATAATAATAGTAATGAGAATTCCTATTTTATCACTTTTGTAATCCTTCTCGACTAAGATTATTTATCTCAGATGAGAAAAATACTTGTTCGCATATTCTATCCTATTCCTTAGATTTGGAAGAATAGAAAGATTTAAAAATTTTGTTTAATATTCCGGGGCAAACAATTTTAAATGATCATAGATATACATTTAGAAACCATCGGTATTTTTAAACCATAAAATTGAAACCTTAAACGATACATAGAAGTGAAGTTTATTTAATGATTCCGGATGGAATCCTATAACCGAAACGCTTTCGCTAACTCTGTTAAAACACTCTCTCTACTCGACCAATACATTCGATCGTGTGAATAAAAGAGAGTTGTCGAAAGCAGATATCTGGATCCGTTTCAGTATGAAACTGAAAGAGAATTGAGAATCGAGTTCACCTGCGGATCGTTTCGACCGAGGAATTCGCAGAAACAAGAGAGTCAGCTATGATTGCTGGATGAAGAATTGCACGAGCATTTCTACAGCGCGTAGTAACGCTAATTGTAATTAATGCAGTTAATGTAAAGTTTAGTCGACCGTGGTAATTGAACGCAGCTGGTCTGTAATACGATTACTCGCGACAAGAAAATTGCCGGTTGATCCCAGGATGATCCCGGATGGACAGAGATTAGATTCGATAAAAAAAAAGAAGACACTTCTAATGGGAACGAGTTTAATCAAAACCATGTGCTCCATGACCGAGTATAATTTAATCAAGTTTTTAGAAATACGTAATTTTGCAAAGAGATGCATTTACTGCACGAATGCTTCGTAATTAAATCATGCGGAATATCAGAGACACGAAGCAACTCGCGTCTCGTGACTCGGTCAGGTGCAATTCAACATGGAGCTTTTTCAACACAGGACAGTCAGTTCTTTTATCTCCGGTCGTTATGTAGCATTTAATTATTCCTTGGAAATAGTTGCTGCAACTGTGCCGGAAATGTTCAACCGTGCTTTTAACCACCGTCTCCTATTCTACGCCAAAAATACCTTGTTATCTGTTCGAGTTGATTGCTCTCATTGAAACTTCGTTCTCAATTCCCCTTTCTTCGCAAATGACTTAAAGGTATCTCCTTTCCTTTCGTTTCCCTGCTTCGAAGTAACTTAGCGACTTTTCCGACAGCCGCCCATTCACCGACAGCCAGCCATCGACGAACGATCAGAACCGATCGATCCAATCATTTCGTTTGACTTGTTAAAATTTAGACGAGCTTCTTTCGATCCGTGTAAGGAGGTCTTAGATAATAAGTTGGTTAATTCAACTCGTGAATTCCGGTTGATGTTGGTTGGATCATTTTACAACTTGGCACTAAGCGGCAGCTCAACTGGAGCAATTGAGATCAGCTTCTTCTTGCGTTTTCTTATCTCCGTCGCGATTCGCCAGTTCTCTGCTTGGGCTTTTCATAGTTGAGTGAAGCAAAAACGAGATTCACGTGTTTCAGCGCTGGGGACTACCGACGACTGAAGTGTGAAATTTCTAGTAAATTAGTTAAAACGAAAGTTACGTCGAAGAATACGTAATTAACTGAAGCAATGGAGATCAGCTTCTTATCTTTGCCACGATTCGCCGGCTCACTAATTAGAATTTTCGCAGTCGAGCGAAGTAAAAGCGAGACTCGTCTATTTAGCGCTGAAATTACCGATGATTGAAACGTGGAATTTGCAGTAAGAGTTAAGGTGAAAATTACATGGAAAAATGCATAGTTCAAGAAAAGGACGAACTTTTTAACCACGTACTTTACAAAACGTCATTCGAGTCGTCAAAAATGCTCTTAATTCATAAAATTTCAATGACGATTCTACTCTAGGAGTTTTAACCAAATTACCGACACGTCCGTGTTCTAAGTTTATCTTTTTCCAGCCCGAGGATTGACATATTAGTAGCATGAAAAATGCAAAAGATTAAGGAACATTCGTTTCTTCGAAATTTTCGTCTTCCAAGAACGTGAGAACATTAGTTCTGGAGATTCAAGAAGAGAAAATCAATGATTGTTTAGAGTATAACTTTGAATACTGATAAACGTATATTTATGCTTTGAAGATTAAAAATAAAAGCCTCGATTTTTAAGAACGTTTCTTCTCTTCGATAAATAATTGGTAAAAATCGAGTCTATGTAACGGCCAATTGTTGTTAAAATGGTCGTTTAAATAAAAAAATTGCTTAATATGTATATATATCAACGAAAAGAAAATTGTTCGTTTTCTAATTAGCGTAAGAAACACAATGGCACAGTTCAAACAGAATTACCGCTCGTTATTCACCATAATAGTACATTTCTAGTTCATCATAGTCCATCGTAATTATTCAAGGATAATTTTCATTTTCGAACACTGTTTTCGTAATTGCGAGACTGGCGAACGTCTCTAAATGACTACTCCACCGTCACGCATTTTGGTTCTAAAACGAGGAATTTCCTTCTGGCGACGTGCGTTTCACGCTCATTAACGGCTTCAAAGAGCGTGCTTCAATAAAGTCTATCTTCTTTGAGTAAAAGAAGGAAACCCTGTGAAAGGGGTTGATTAAACACGTTTTTGCGAAGAACAGCGACTACGCCTCGTTCCGACGAACGAAAATGTTTCCCTCGAGTTCTTTTATTTCACCCTGGACCCTTTTTCATCCGTTTCAATACACACGCTCATTGTTCTGCATGATTTTTGTTCTTGCGCCGGCATTGTTTTCTGACCTCTCTTCAGAAACTTTAAATTGCGTCTGAAAGGAAAAATCAAGACAGTTGTCGCGTAAATTTCTCTGCATTTTACGCTTAAATCTTTTTTTACAGATTTATCTTTTGTGATTCTCCTTTATTTTACGCTTAAATATTTTTCACAGATTTATTCTTTTGTTATTTCTCTGTACATTACGATCTAATTTTTACGCTCAAACACTTTTACAAATTCATTTTTTATTCTTTCTATATTTCATGCTTCAATTTCCTTTCTTTTTCTTTTTTTTTTTTTTTGCGGATTCATCTCCTTGCGATAAATCCGTATAAAATTTCAATGTTACGTTTTCATTTGAATATATTTCCGTATTTCCTGAGAGGTTCAACCGCGTTCGTAGTTTACGTGTGTAATAAAAAGGAAAATATGGTTCCGAGGGGTGTTGGAACGATTCAACCTGACAAGACGCGAATGGATTTGTTGCAGGTGGCCAAGCTGTTCTCCTACACGTGGACGATGGGCCTGTTTCTATGCAAGTCGGTGCATTATATGCAGAGCGTCTCGGCTATTTGCTCGGTCGTCACGTTAACCGCAATGTCGATAGAAAGGTAAACCTGACATTATTACCTTCCCTGGCTCCGTTGTATTTTCCTCCTATTTTCTGCACGTCTTCTTAAACCGTGTCGCGCGTTGAAATAAAAATTGAAGAATGGTTAGCGATGCCTTTCCTCTAATTATTAATTTGGAATATTAATTTACCACTATATTGAATTAACGGTATTAGACAAGCAAATGCAAATAATACTGCAATCTCGAAGATAAATTTGGATAATAATGGTTAATTTAATTCTTAACCCTCCTAATCTCGTGGTTTGATTTAGGTTAATTGGAGTAGTGTACTTTATAGTATAGTATAGTGATTATTAGAGTATAGACGTTCATGCATATTCATGTTTCTGCGAATACAATTAAAGCAGAGATTTAGTTCACCGTGCGTTATAACTATTTTATATAGTTTTGCATTCTATGCATTTTTGTAACTTTAAATTCCTTATAATCGCGTGAACGTTCACGATCTAATTTTTAGAATCGATAGATTATCGCGTCAGAACGAAGCAAAATAATTATCGTGAAAATTTCGTCTAAATATAATAGAATATAGACGTATACATTTTTCAATAAAACCACGCAACTTCCTGTTCTACTTTGAAATGTTCAGGCGCCAAAAAATTCACGGCGCTTTAATCTTGAAGGGAACCGACTGTTCAGAGATTAAAAGTTGGAAAATTATTTAACGCAGCTCCGTCGTCGTGCGCTCGAGAAGCGTAGTTTCGTTTAATTGATGCACTTAAACGAGCTCTCTTAAATTCAATTTATTTAGGTACAGCTGTAGCTTCCCGTGGATAGTACGTTTTCTTTCTATGAAACACGAAAAAATTCGTTTCACGAGGGACCAGCCAAATTCGTTCCATCTCACGGTGTAATTTTATCGCGAAACCGTATTGACTTTCGTGTCCTCGCATTCTGAGAATTCTTCTCTCTTGCGATTAACGATACGCGTGAATTATATTAAATTTCGCCGACCAACCTGTACTTCGTGATTGATAGATTCAACGTGGATAATGATCGATAATGATTACAACGGAGACAGGAGGAGAAAGTTTGATGAGTGGGAAAGGTCGACACAAAAGTGATAAAGCATCCTAGATTATGAAAAAAATGCATAGGTGGGTTCCTTTATTGGATGTTGCGCGAGATAAATCGATCGGAAACTCATATTTTTCCCACCTTCCCCTCCCTTATCGTTTCTTCTTTGTACCTATGTAATATGTTCCAGGAGAAAATAAAGATAAACAAATATGAACCTGTCCGATGTAAAACTGGTCAACTTCACTTTTTTGCAACTGTCTTAATGTCATAACATATTAAGCTACAAGATTAATCTTTGGTTTTTAAGAAACTGTAAAGACCTTCTTACCTTTTTTTAAGTAAAGTATATTTTTAAGAAAAGTATATTTTTCATAAGAAGATAACACAAGCGAAAACAAATTTCAAGAAAAAATTACAAAATGCAATGCTTGTTAGATTGTTAGCTTTCTCCACTCTTTCATTTATGGAAGTGGCCAATGTATCGTGGATGTCAACCATTTCAAGAGATTGTCATTTAAATGCTCTAATTAGAAACTAAATTAAACGTATCCGTCGAGTCTTTGTATCACTATCTGTTACTCGCCAGTTTATCATAACTCGCCAGTAAAAATACTGTAAAATGGGAAAACGTTGCCAAAAGTAAGATAATAAAATTATTCTGCACTCAGCTTCCTTCTGGGAGAATAATACACGTTCATGTTATTTCACTTTGACGATCGAACCTCGCGACAGATGTTAATAGCAATCCCAACACGTCGCCCTGGATTAGATCCAACTAAAATATTAAATAATCGCCGGGTTTTCCTCCGAGAACGCGATAAATGCTTAAAATAACTCATTAACATTTCGCAACACGATTTACATTAAAATAATCTCCAAGCATAAGCTCTGTATCTTACGTTCGGAAACACGATTTCCATAATTCCATACGATTATTAACACGCTCTCATTACCGTTCAATTTACATATGTACATACGTTGAATTTTAATCGGTATAGAAGTCATCTTAAAATTCTTTCCCTTATCCTTTTCCATCCGATTTCTCGATGCGGAAGAATACAGGATTTCGACGAGTGATCCGGAAATTCGCAGGGAATTTGCTTCGCCCTTTTCTTTCAACACCCTTCGAAGACAGTTAGCAGGCGAGTAGTCATAAATTCTCCCTTTCATTTCAGATCGGATTGCGGCCCACTAGGGATTGCGATTCTTTTTCCCTTTTGTTCTTTTTTTTTCGTGAAAAAGTTACCCGCGTGTCTTATTAAACTTTTATCAAGCTTCGTAACAGCGAAATCATCTGTCGTCCGACGACCAGAAAACGTAGGATTAAATGCAAGCCGCGAAAGCTTTTTCCTGGTTTTACATAGTTTGTGTGAGAAATAACAGGATTGCGAATCCATTAATTCCAATACAATCAAATACAATCGTATTGGTGAAAATGGCGACGCAATTTATTTTTCTTGAAGTATATTCCTTCGATTTGTACGCGACGTTAGGAATAAAAAATAATTAAGGAATAAGAATTTTATAGAGTGGAAGTAACGGTGGTAGTTCATAGTCAGAGACGAAGGTAGGTTTAATTAGCCGCAACACGTTTTACTGCTAATACATTTTTTAAGATAAATCAGTCACGTAACCGCTAGAAATGGTTAATCGATAAATTAACAGCTTCTTCAAGGTGTATTTGTAAAGTTACCTTGAATACATACATATTCGCCCTCGGTAGTTTGTCTACGTGTTTTCAACTGAAAGAAACGATCTTACACGATAGAGGTAGTAAAGGTTAGATAGTGGATTTAATTACTTTTATTACGTTTCACTGCTATAGCTCTGTCAAGATAAATCACTTACAAGGCTAGAAAAGACGAACCATTAAACGAGTACGTTTCTGGAGTTAAAGATATTTTTCAAGTCTTGAATGTTTTGTTACAAATATTCTCCTATGGAAATAGATGACTGTAATCGATATGATAAAAAATATGTAGTAGGAAAATCATCTATAAAAGTGTATACTAACTTGAAGATATATGTAAATTACATATAAACGTCAGCTCGAAAGGACAGAAAAAATTGATAGATAACATTTACACGTTGTGTACGATCTCTCGACGGAAGCTGTTTCATCTCGCAGCTCACGTTCCCTTTCCATAAAGGACCCAATAAGATAGACCTATACGCGTAATCCAACAGCTTTTTCCCAACGCGCAGTCATGCTTAAAATTTATTTCATTCTAGGGGAAATTGAATCGCCTTATCGTCGCCTGTCTTTCTTCCGCACCGTTGAGCCTATCGACGGTTGCTTCTTATTGTTTATCTCGCCCTTTGTATGGAAAGGAAACAGATAAAACCTAGGAATCGTCCATATTTCTGAAGGTAATATAAGGGATGCTGAGGAACTCCGTAGATGGTCATGACAGATGCTGTTAGGCGATAACGTTGTATAGGGTTGTCAATGACTTTTGTCCTCGAGGTTGGATATTTTTCTCGTCGAACGTGTTAGAACGTACGATTTTTCGATTTACACGATGTTTATCGTAGACTACATAATTTGTGGTTGTTCGGGTTCTGGTCTCGTGTTTCCGATTCTAATCTTTTCTCGTTCTACTCTGAAAAATGATTTTATTTTATAGTATAAGGACATGGATAGGCATCTATCCTGTGTGGAATATAAAACTGGTAATCATCGAAATCGAATGACAGGAATTTTTTATGGTAATCCATATTGGAAACCAGACGCGCAGATATTGATTTTTCTTTGGATTATTTGGACTTGTAAATGTAACACTCACTGGTGTTGGACTCTCTGACGATGTATATTAAAACCGAATTCGCCTCTAATCATCTTTATCTACTAGTCATCATATTTATTTTCAACAAGTAACATCATCGTGGGAGTGAGCATTCGCTTCACCATGGAAAATGGAAAACTGTTTAATCCCGTATTAGGATAAGCTTTTCGTGTCGTCTGCTGTGAAATAAAAGTTTCGTTTCGCGAGAAATTTCCATCAACTTTGGCAGAAGTTTAATTTCCCAACTTCTCTAATTTTTAGGTAACAGAAAATATTAATTTATTACTTTCTCGCAAATAAAACAACTCTATACTTTCATTTTATTCGCAAATCTTTTTATCTTTTATACTTGTCGATCGATACAGTGTCCCTTTTGATGAGAAAGTTTGATTGCATGTTAAACAGCATAGTAAATAATTATGAATCACCCTTTGATCTGTCAAAGAAATTGCCAATATCTAATCTACAGTGTATTGCGTGATGAAACTGATAAGATTATTTCTAGTGCTAATATGTAGCTGGTTCAATGATGTGCATTATTAGGTACCTTCCTATGTAATATATTTTGCGTTGGTTATGTAAAAAGCCCATTTAATTTCTAATTATGGAGTAATACATATATATGTATAGCCCCTGATATGAAAATTCCATTATTCATAAAATTCTCCGAATTCCAAAATTAATAAATTGCGTCAAACGTATTTTTATCTGGCTAGCATGAAATATATTAAATATACTCTTCATTTCGTATGAAATCTATAACGTAAAAGAGCCACATAAATAGACTAGTTGTCCATGGTGTCCATGTTACAATTTCATCTCTTCTTATTATATAAAATCATAATATTTTATAAAATTAATTCATTATTTATATAAAATTTCCTATTCAAAACAGCTTCTTAAATACAGTACTATTTGAGAGTTTCTATTGAGAATTTCATTTTATTGTATGATTATGATTGACGCTATTCGCATTATCTCGTGGAAACTTCACGAAGCTTCCATCTATCTGTCCATTTCATGCCAAAGTAGATTTCTTGGTATATGTAAATAAAGTACAGAATTTACCCTATATATTCCTCCTCCAGCTCTGACCAGATTCGGTCTCGAGTTTTCATAAAGTTTCAATGAAATATCGTACATTGGTACGGCTGTTTGTTTCGTAGCGAAACAGGCTGAAATTTATATTCGGTACGTAACTATCACGTCACTGTTCCGCCCACTAAAGTGACGTTATTCTGCACAACGCGCTGCTGGTATCGAGCGACGGAAGAAAGCGTAGCTTCTGCAAACGTGATTCTGTTCAATTCGTTTGCACCGAACGTCGTGGGCAAGAGAATTGATTGATAGAGAGGCTAGAAATATAGAACCACTTTGTATTCGTAGCTGCGCCATGTGGAAGAGAGGCGAACGATCGTCGCGAAGCTTTTCATTTAATTGCATAGGCGTGGAGCGAAGAAAATGAGAAGAAGGCAGGTAATGGGAAAAACGAAGATAAACGCGGAACAATACCAAGAAATAACCGTAACCATAAAAGAAAGCATTCGTCGTGATTTTTCGCGTGGTTCTATCGACTCCTCTTCTTATACGTAGTCACTTTCCTCATTTTCTTTTTGGCGCGTGGTTCCTATAAAATCCACGGGATCGAAGATTATAGCGGGTCTCTCGGATAGATCGTCCAGTCGACAATAATCGTCTGTCGCTTCATGAAAATGCGCTTTACAAGTATCTCGAATTGTGCATCAGTAAGCAAATCACACGTTCTATATCCTTATTATTTATTCATTTATGTACGAGTGGTAGCCTTAGGCACAGAGAAAGAAATATACGATAATATAAATGAATAAATAATTGTCATTGGCAGTGATAACAAGTCAGAAATAGTGCGCGGACGTATCGGTGAATTACACACTGTGTTTCTAACATTTTTCTCAAGTTCTTTCTCAAAAGGAGCGTAATCGATGGACGAGTATATTAGCATGTTTGCAAACGCGATTAATACAGTTACTAGGAGCCTAACTGGTTCTGTATAACGTCGTGCGGAAAATTGGGAAACTCTCGTAAGTCCCGGATGGAGTAGCAAGTTTAACAAACTGAAGAACCTCTGGGCAGCTAGTGTAATGCTTTTTATATACGAATATGGTATCAGCTGTGAATCTACGTTGCTCCAAGGGATAATAGGTATTACAAGGAATTAATCCGAGCGGCGTTAGAAACTGGTCGTAGGTAGTTATGGCAAGAGATGAGAATGAAATTTCCAATTTTGTGGGAAAGAGAACCTACGGATTTACGTTGAATCCTCTCAATGAAGATAACATGCGTCACATGGACATTCTTATAATGAGACCAAGAGCTCGCCAAGCCAACAATGTAATATGCTTATAATGCTGCGCAAACGATAAGATGGGTGCGAGTATAAGTCCAAGATCCTTCAGGATAATGATCTCGTTAAGAAATACATATGTAATTTAATTAGGATTTCATCGAGCGGTATTTTCATGAATTTTCGATATTTTCTACATTCTTTCGGTATATGTGTAGACTTGATAAATATTACGAACGTGTAATAGCGAAATACAGAAATATCTGAATATCGTTAACAGCAATTTATGTTCTATTTATGGGTCAATTTATGTACCACTGTTTACCTCAATATCAATCTATGAAAATTACGCATTTAAAAATATTAATTTGAAGAATTCGAACGATCTGATATCATTCCTGGGATATTTTCAAATAATTTCGTCATTCTGATTTTGTCCATGTAACTTCATGGGTTTACCTACTGTGCAGTCTCGCGTAGCCACTGTTGTTTTATCACACGCTGGTGTGTTTATAGGACATTGCCAAATTAATTAAAAATTTTGCCTGTGTTACAGATATTACGCTATAGTTCATCCAATGCGGGCGCAGTACACTTGTACAATAAGTCAGGCACGTAAAATAGTAATTACAACGTGGGTGGTGTCATTCCTTCTCGGTATTCCTATGATCTTCACGCAGGTGAGAATTACTTTCCTTTAAAAAGAGTATGGTTTCATTAACATTGTTGCTCGTGGTCTCTTGCGATGAGCTCACTGTTTTATATTAGACATTTTTAATTCAACGACGAAATCCTTTATATAAGTTTTTTAAGTAGTATAACTAAGTACCGCAGTACAAACATTCCGCAGTACAAACACTCCGCGTACAGCTTCGTTCTGAACGCATTAAGCCACTTTTTAATTGCACAACAACTACCGTTCTTTGCAAATAAGTACATTGAAACAAATTGCAGGACTCGTAATTAGACTGTGATCGTTTCTGCTTTTATGACGAATTTAAAAAATGCAGATCTATATGGAGCTTATATAGGATACAGGAACATATTAAATTAGGGTCGAAGAAGTTTGGTTATAAAATTTAATAAGAGAATTAATTTTCATTTTAGATTCCAGATCAGATATTCTGTTAGATAATTCTAACATACACATCTATGAGAATATGGAATTACATAAACGTCTGCAGGTTTATTATAATTAATATTTATAATAGAAACGTCCACTAAATTATCTCGACGAATTTGTCCTTCGACATGGTACAAAATCATCGTAATTATCGAATGGGTACCTGCAACAAATTTGATCGCAAGTATCGCGATCAACTTACTTGTGAGATTTCAGTCAACTTTCTTTCTAAATTTTGATCACGTACAGTGCCTCGACTAAAATCTATCTAAAGCCAGAAAATCGAGAAAATGGAAAGCTCAATCTTCTTGCAAAATCCAGCGTCACAGCGTCAGTTATCAGTCCCTTTTATCCAAGCTCTTTCACGCAGTTCATCAAAGTAAAAAACTAGACAGAAATCGCAAACAGTAATTTTTTGCAATTTCGATCTCCGATACTCCATTTACAGAAATTGCTGGCTCGTGCAAATATGTATGACACAGCATGATTGCAGCATGATCGCAGCCTGAGGAAACGTTACTCACAAAATCGACTCTGATGTTTGTTTCATGTTCGTTTCAAGTTTCAAGGCGACAAACATCTGTGCATCGGAGCGTTAAAGGGCTAATTTTTTTTTTAGAAGTTCAAAAGATCGATAAGAGAAATGGAAAATCGCGTGTTCTGTCAGCTTCAGTCAAGAGATGCTTCGTGCTATTTCTTCGCTATCTTGCGCCCGAGTTATTGCTGACATTCTAAAAGACGGCGTCACTACTGATTCCTTTGATCCGGAATTTCTCGATGATTCTTGTCACTGCATTTCATATTTCGCATTGCCAAAATTTAACATACATATATAATAATTATGCAAATAATTTTACAAGTTACAGACTGTCTGATTATATATATTTGATATAAGATTATAAGATGTTAAAAAAGAACGCCGAGCTCCACCGACCAGTGTATTAAAAAATATTATGTGTATAATACTACGTATACAGGGTGATTGGTAACTGGTGGTACAAGCGGAAAGGGGGTGATTCTATGCGAAACAAATTTTTTTTTTTAATTTTTTTATCGAGACAATGACCCGTTATAACGAGACGTGATAAAGTGCACGCGTACCGAGCGAAAATTCAAAGTCGATTTTCTCGAAAACAAAGCCTCGAACGAAAAATTTTTATTCTATATTTTCGACTTCTCTTTTCGCGTAGAATCACCCCCTTTCCGCTTGTACGACCAGTTACCAACCACGCTGTGTAACATCGTGTATACGAATACGCCAGACATGCTGTACTATATAATGACATTTTTGTGTTTCCCTATGAAAAGGCTGTTATGGGTAACAAAAGAACGAAAGAGTTAATGGAACACGAGATAACGCATGGAGGCATGTGTTTAGTAAAAATAAATGGGGCGAGTGTGACGATAAAATGGCGTACGATACGACCGTGAAGAATTGTATCGCCGTTTCTAAACCTATTTCGAATAGTTTAATAAAATGTCTTTATGCGATGCCGTAAAGCAGTGGAATGAGGAATACGTTCACGAGTATGTACATAGCTTGTGATTGCTAGACCGAGTCCATGGAGCGACTACCTGTTCGATAAAGTGTTCCTTTCTGCGAAGGGAATCCGTGGTATTCAGGTTTATGGTTTGGCATACAGTTTGGGATATAGGATAAAGGAATATTTGAAATTAATATGCTATGAATTTCAGTAATTTTTGCAGTGAAAATTGTTTACCATATTATGACGATAAAGTATAATATTCATTCACTGCTGATTAAATATAGATTCATTTTGTAAAATTACGATGTCCTTTCATACTTTTCATTGTATAAACTTTCTTGTACCTGCTTCGTTTTCTTCAAGATCTTTTAAACCTTTATTTGACGAACATGCATTGAAAATTTATTAAGTTAAATTAGAAAATTACAAATATGTTACTTGTTTAATTTGTAATTGGTAAATAATTGAACTAATGTTACTGATATTTACAAACACATGCTTCATACGAAAATAATATGTATGCGTCCGTGCGACGCATATCAGGTTAACGATCTCTCTGCAAAAATAATGTAAATACCGCCTCGGGGCGAGGGTCGAATTAACGAGCGTCTATCGACAACTGTTTCTCGACAGTCGACATTGCGACGCAGTACGTGACACACGACGTACGACGCTGCTCTAATCGAACGACGGATATAATCGCAAGCCTAGGTAATAATTGTAGTAATAATTATTCGTATTAGTGCACACGCAATAAATTATATTCATATAACGTAGAGGAACGTTTGTCGATAATAGTTCGCAGTTCGTAGTTCGTAATTCGTTAAGGAAATCATATTAAAACCTTCGATAATTGTTCGTTACGCTATCCACGAACATTTCATAAAGATGAAATCACAGTAGAACTCAATTTATCGAAATGAGGTTTTAGTTAATCCCCGGTTGACTGAATTTTTGCTGCTTGATTTCGCTTATCTAAACGTGATTTCCTATTACCTGAACTGAAGTATACCAGGTAATGAGGAAAATGGGTAATCCCCTATTATGTGAACTCCGATTACTATATAAACTGTTCGTCCCCCCGACAAGTTCAGATAAGACTAAAACTCGATGTAAAATTCTGTTTCAGACGCATAAGGAGGTTGGACTGAGGGTGATTGCTTACTGGTGCGTACGCGATTCGGAATTTGGACTTTTGTGGCGTGCACACGAGGTTTATATGTTGGTCCTGGTTCTGGTGTTACCCCTGACCGTAATGGGCTATTGTTACACGGCTATTTGTTGGGAGATTTGGCGAGTTATGAAACGTCGATATCACCTGACATCTCGTCGCACGTGAGTTTCTAACTAAATTTTCCATTTATTCGATAAAAAAATCATAATATTTTTGTTCCATCGAATGGTCCAATTGCATGTCATTTTATAATAGCATAACACTATAGTCGTGTATTTCGGTATTCAGACGTTTTATTCACATTGATGAAAAAAAGAAAAAAAAAAAAAGAAAAAAGGAAAGAACGATAGAACAGCGCGATAGATTTTAATAAAATTCATCTCTTCTTACGAAATATAGTTTTCAAGATTTGCATTTCTATGGATCCGTTTCCGCCAAAGATGACCGATTAGGATTCACGTAATATTCGCTGACAGTACGATCCGTTATCGATGCTGACTTTTATTACATATTTCATAATGGAACGCATCGAAAATTGAAATCTCCGATTGATTCCTGACTTTGTAATGCTAATCTGTGGTGTTCTATTATATATTCACTGTCACTTTCGGATTCAGTGATTCATGATCGAAATAAGTTTTCCTTTCTCGGGTTCATATTTAGCTTTGTAAATTAGTAACGTTTTACGATTCATCCAGTATGTAATTCTTCGCTAGGTTTATTCCGGAATCTAGAGAGTCTTTATCTTTATTCTCTCTTTATTATACATTAGAATTTTTTAACAAATATGTCCAGACTACTTTTCTCGTATTTATTTTTCATTCGTTTTCCATCAGATTTATTTGCTTGCATTAAAATCCACAGTCAGCTTTTTTTGATTTATTCGCATTTAGCTTCGTATTTTGATTTACTTCATTTAAAAATCAGCCAGGTAGAAACGTAAAATAAAATTGTAAATATTTATCTACATTTTTATATAGTGAAATATTTGTACAATTATTCAAAAATACGATGGAATGGATTGATTAATGATCATGTGACCTTGAAATTTTATACTTGTCATTTTTTATCAGTTCTTTTTATGAACATCGATGAACATTCAATATAAAACAAACGCGAACACGAGTACGAATAAAAATTTTGTATAAATTCGTTGAAAAATTGATCGACTCTGTAATAGCTTTCTCCATTCTATTTTTCATCTGCATACTGTTTTATGCATTTCGTGTATTAATTTATCTGTTGAATGCCTAAAAGCAGCTGTAAGTTTGTATATACGTCAGTGCCAGTTGTCACATATTTTCTCCGCGGTAGAAAAGCAAATACACTTTGCAGAGTAACATCGTGAAAGTTTTCTGATTGCGAAATATCGACGCACCACTGTTACGCCTTAGAAAACAACATTGAAAAAGAATTTCGCTCTTTCATTATATAATACATTGCTTGTTGGAACAGTTTTTAATAGGAAGATACTATGAATCACTTGTAATCTCGTATTTTGATTTTTAAATGTCAATGAGACTAAAATGGAAACACCCAGCAGATCTCATAAAGGATATAACCTAACAAACAGGAAGATGGTATCCCGCTGGGGGTAGCCACCCACATGATAATCAAACAGCTAAAAAATTCTAAAGCAAATGTCCAAATTGGACAAATTGTGAATGTGAAATATTAAATAAAAAAAAAAAAGAAAAAATATCAATGAGAGGTATGAATAACCTTTGAATGTTTCTATTGTTTCAGCGTTTAAATATACTCCGGTTAAAATATTATTTTCTTGAAAATAATTGCTCGATAGTTTATTCACTATGCAGAGTTTTAAAAACGATGAATAGATAATTCGCATGATAATTTCTCTTCGTTCTATATCTTCGAGACAAAAATTCTGCATCGATTAACGTTTATCTTTTCTCGAGCCCCAAAGAAAGGAGTCATTGTTAAGTTCAGCATATTAATATGTCTATCACAATGGAATATAAAATCCTGATTATATGCAGCAGAAATATTCAAAAGCAGACCGTAATGAAACGATTTAATTATCATGTAGAAAGTTTCGATGTAATTAAAAATTGTAGAAATATAATAATGATTCAGAAAATGTTACAGAGCATTTTCAATTATGTCAGTGAGAGAATTTTTATGAAAATAGCTTCACGATTAAATAAAAGACCCGAACAAGCGCAAGAGAAATTGAAAAAATTTTTTTTGGAAAGTTTCCACTTTTGAAAGTTCAGCTGTAGTGCAAAGTAGCCCTATTGTTTCGTTCCACAAAATTGCCAGCTCGATCCAACGTTTAATCTATTGAGAAGTTGCATTGCCAGTCCTAGTTTTCGATCGGAATTTATGACACGGTATTCTTTTATGGATCGAAACGCTGTGAATTCGTCGTTGTTCATCGTACTTTATCCGTCGAGCTCGTTAGAAACATGTGGAAACAAAATGTTCGCGTGAACGCCAAAAGGTAATTTTGTTTTACGTTTTTGACAACGCAATTTGTATTATAGAAAACAATGTTATTACAAATCTAGTAAGTTTCATTATAAAACATGATATGAATTTACGTTCAAATAAGTGGACTCAGCCTGCAGGATTTCATTTTAATCACACGCTGCACAACTAAAATTTCGTCCAAATAAACGGAGTTCGTATAAAAGGAGAATTCTATTTTAATTGAGAGCTGCGTAAAATGTCATTCCGACGAATAGAGTTTAGATAAATAGAAGTAATTCGTATAAACGGAATTCCACTTTAATAAATTACCAACTGTTTATTGGCCTGTCAACCTGTTTATTATATCCGGAATTTGCAATTCTGTAAGGAAAAAAGTACATGAGAAAATAAATAATTCCTCTTTGTATTTTCTCCTCTTTCACACTGCAATTTCTTTCGTTTCAACGACTTCTGCGATACTGTTAATCGTTCGCTTAACGTTAAAGTCATTAACTGAATGCTTCCACTAGAATTCGCGATATCCTCTTTAAAGTTACCTTGAATGCGTATTGTGTCTGCAGTACAGCGATTATTGCAGATACGACACGATTCGATTTGCCGTCTGGTATCTTAGTGTCTATCGGAGAATTACGTTTATACGTGTCGGTTTATCGGTCTCGTGATTCGACGTTAGAGCCACGCTTGAATGGTATGGTAATTCTGAGTTGCGGAACGGTCGTAGAGACACGCACGATCTACGTTTCCCTGGTTACGAAGCACCTTTGTGTCGCCAGGAAGATCGTGGTTAAAGGAATTGCACTAACAAAAGAGTGAAATAAAATAGTTTGCAAGTAAAAGATACCTCGAACGTGTGAAAAGGAGAAATTTAGCAAATGTTTTCCGCTGGAGAAGATGCTTTCTGCGAGCAACAATTTATAGAAGTGGAATATATCGCGCATTCTACTGTAATCACCAACTTCTTTTGTTCTTTCTTTTTTCCTTTCCCGAATGTTACAGACTGAATCCGACAAACGTCGATGTGGAATCCATACCAATGACACAGAGGCAGAGCGTAAGAAATAGTCGTCGTGCCCAGAGAGAGGATGGCCAGACCGAAGAGGAATCTCGAACGATAAGACAGGTAGGATTTGTAATTGAGCATCGGATTTATGGAAACGTTTGTTGTCGAATATCGTATCCAATCTATGTATATTTATCCGCTTGAAGCATCCACTCGTAAAGATCTTCACTCGACTAGAGAACTTGATAAGATTATTCCGAAGAATGAAGATAGGAATTCGTAGAATATTAAGTAAACGTTCATCAAATTCTTCTGAAAAAGTATTCTTCTGTTGAAAGATTCATGCGAAACAAGAGTCAGAATATTTCTTTAGGATGTCGGAAATATCGAATATGTACCTTATGTAACCATCCATTCCTCGTGACTTTAGGTTAAAAAGGATGATTTCGGGGAAACGCGACGAGAGTTTTAAAATAAGATTCTTACGAAATTTCGAGAATCGATTTAATTTATTTAACGTCGTTAATGTTCTTGAATCGAAAGTAATCATAACCATAAGATTTATGGAGTCTCGACGCGAAATTAAACTATCATTCGAGAAGTTTGTCTCGCTCATAAAAGTTCGATATTCTCCATTCGTTTCATAAAAGGCAATTTGCATATGCAAACCGCTGACACTCTGATTCAAATGGTAATTATTATGCATCTCAAGCAGCGCTTTCGGGCCAAATCGGAATGGAATAAACGTTCCGTTCGTGCTAACGACGTAGCATTTCGCTTGGTTTCTCGAAATTCGATAATTTCTTTTATCGAATTATTACGAGCTGCGTTTAGTACGAAAATAATCCACGTTCTCCTGCGCTATCAAATTAACATTGTTAGTGAAGTCCCTTCCCATAACAGTAATTTCGCTAGTAAAAGAAATTAAATTTTACAAATTATCAGTCACACGATCATTCTGTGTGATATAAAATTTCGATTTGTCAATTCATCGATATTACTGTAGCAGATTTTTGTGCGAGAGATCCCTGGTAACAGGTTGCCACAAAAAGGATTACAATAGCAGGATTATTATAGATTACAATACCATTTTCTTAGTCGCAGCTCGCTACTCGCTAGATCTATCTAATTTCGAATGCACGAAAGGAGCGAACAGAAAAGTGTGCAAACGGAGAATTCGATTAAATTTAATGAGAACGTGATTCTCTCTGTCCTCCATCGACTTCGATTAATTCACACTAAGTTTGTAAGATTTTGATCGCCCGATTGGAAGATGGTCGAAAACAATTGGCAAGAAGCCGTATCGATTGTTGAAGTTACCTCGACGGAGAAATAAAATTCATCCAAAGTAGGTAACCCGCGTTTGTCTTAAGTGACGGCTAAAAGGGTCTGAATGTAGGACGAACTGGTAACTTTTGAAAGAGCGAGTTCGCTTCGAATCGTGACTCGATCGAGTCAGGAAGAAAAAGGAGAGAAAGGATAAAACAGTAATTACCCAAAAGTTATTACTTTCCTGGTTCTACAAACAGTGCAGATCGATATGTTTATTTCTCAAAACTCTTTCATTTTCAGATATTCTCAGAGAAAGTCTGTATGTTGTAAACATTCAAGAGTATGATAAAACGTGTATTTAATCTGGAAATTAAATGAAATGGTCATTTTAATGTAGAATTGACTGACAGTGTATCAACTCCGTCGTTGGAGCGCGGATATTTCTGCAAATTTATATTCACTTCCGAACATAATTTAAACGTAGATTTGTCTCATCCACTAAATACTTCGCATTTTTGAACTTCCAAATTTTCCATATCAAGATCAGTAGTCTATTTATCATATTTTTCACCTTGTAAGCCTTTCGTATTATTTGAGTTACTGTTGATGAAAAGTGAATTTGCGTTTCGTCCCGGGACTACCGATGGACTCATCAGTAAGGCTATGCCCGGTAGTCCCTGCCTTAGACGTAGAGGAAGTCTCGCTAGGTGCGGTATTTGTATCAATCGCTCGTATATTCGACCGCTAGCGAGTTAGACAGACTCGTTGTCGTCGTAACCCTCTGGTGTTGGCGGTTGGTACCAGCGGATCGCCGGGGAGGTGTTGATGCCTCGACCTGTCGGCGTCCTGTTGATACCGATCCGCCACGCTGTATTGTCAAAAGAAACAGAACAGCCTGTCGCATCTAAATAACAAAATTATGTTGATAGGTGGTGAAAATGTTGGTCGCCGTGGTCGTGCTGTTTGTCATTTGCTGGGGTCCGATTCTCGTGGACAACATGCTCACCTCCTACGGATATTTGCCACGCATAAAAGTTGGCACGTACAAACACCTCAACACAGCTTTTCAGCTGATGGCTTATTTTAACAGGTATGTGGACAAGACTATACACTGTACTAGACATCGGTACGTTGCTCTTTTGCATTCATTAAATTAGTCTGTTAAAGAAAACAGCTTACCGACGCTTCTACTCGTTACACTCGAGTAACTTCTTAACCTGCTTTGTTTAATTTCGTCGTTGAGTTAACACAGATGATTAGAGACGCGTGTAGAAGTGTTTGCGTTTGCTCGTCTATTTTCACAGACGGAAGGTGGATTAAACCCTTGAATGACTAAGCGGCAGTTCGCTGGGAAGAAGTTTCGAGAGCGATTAAATGCATTTCCTACGATTCTTTCATTTTACCTTTTAAGAAACATATAAATTGTTACGAGTCGAGTAACTTTGAATACGATAAAGCTTGTTTGCTTCTTTCGGTTATTCTCGAACCAATTATATTTTTTTCTACCCTTCACGAATTTTAAAGGAAATATTAAATAAGGCCAATGGTACGTATCGTTCCTAGTTTTAATTTTATGTTGGATATCTTCCTAAAACTTTATGAATCTTCGTCATTTGGTAAAATGGGAAGAAGATTAAAATATATAAAAAATGAAAGATCGTAGCAAGATTAAATATTTGAAGAAGATGAAATGGTATTATATTTCTTTCACTCTAGGAATTACGAAGACAAAGAAAGGTATACCGTCGCTAAACAGTTTGGAATCGCTTCTAACATTCACAGCTTATGAATGGAAAGCAATTAAGAAATAATGTATGTAGTTCTCTATGTTTTATCCTTATTAGGATATTATATTTGCAAGTAACTATTTTTCACTGCCCTTTTGTTTCATTCGTATGATTATCGTCTCCAATGATTATCACGTTTCACCTCTGTAATTCCCTAGTATTTGAAAATATATTATTCCATTAATCTGTCGAACAAGTTGTCATTTAATCACATAATTTCTGTAATTGAAAAACTGACAATTAATAGCAAAGACAACTTTCAACAACAACGATTTTAGTCAGATTACTTTTAAATCTCCAACGTACATTCGCATTTTTCATTAAAATTTCCATGCTCGTTTTTCATCAAACAAGCGATGTCAAGCCTTTCAGCTGCAATAATGTTGATTTAATTACGAAAAGTATCGTTCGATTGCTATTCAATATCACATGTTGCTCCAAGAGTTATTGCGAGAGCAATAAATAATAAAAAAATTTAACTAATATCCTTCCTTGTCAATTTTCGTATCTGAGTGGCAATGTGTCCCGTTTAGTTAATCGTCATTGTCCAGATGCAATCGTTGTTCTTGACGTAATAACTCTTCGTTAACATAATAATTCGCGTGTGTAACGATCCATGCCGCGAGAAAATTACCTCTCCTGTTACATTAACACCAAGTAACGATCTGTAATCTCCTGACATACTTCTTCGTTACTTGCCATCGTTACTACGAAAAAAAAGACGCTTTAAACGCTAAGTAATATTAGCGATGACAAATTACACTTTTTAAGTTATTCGATCGGACGAATCTCTATTTTGTCAATTTCGGCGCAGAAGCATTCTTCTCTAATTAAACTCTTCGTTGTGGGTCTATCGTTATTTATTTATTTATTTTCTTAAAAATTGTTAATAGTAGTCGCAGCAATTTATTATGAGGACCTGACTAAAGTGAAAATCAGATTTCCATCGAAACGGATGATGAGACGAATAAAAAAATATGAAATATAGGAAAATGTAAGTAATGAAAGAATATGTCATAAAAATAAAACTGGATTTTGAAATAAATTCCATTTTATCAGAATATTACTTAACGCGATTATAATTTAATTTCATTTCATTTAAATTTTGAGAGCTAACGCATCCATAAAACATAATCCTTTCACGCGCAGTCAAACTGTCTGACCTCACGCGCTCTAATCTACTTATATATTCTCTAAATCCTATTGAAACTTTGCACGCATAAATGTTCGCTCATTTTTTTCACCAACCACACAGATTTTTATTCTCGTTAAATTGCCGACTCATTGTATATTCATTTATCGTATTAATCTGTTAAATAGGTTTGACCATAACACTTCTATAACTATAAAATTACAAATAAATAGTAAAGCAGATTTCGATAATAATTCCAGATCAATTTTACACGTCTAAACACATAACGAAACTATTAGCCAAACATCATGGACTTAACTCGTATTTCCCGGTTAATAGGATAAAGTTCATCCACTTTCCAGCTACTATATTATGCTACAATAGTTACCGGATATTTCATTCTAAGCACATTGTGTTTCAGTTGCATAAATCCGATCGTATACGGATTTATGTCAAAACACTTCAGAGAGAGTTTCCTATCGGCGGCCTGCGGCGGCTGGTGGATCTGTTGGTGCAGAAGAGGATACAGAGCGCCTGTAAGACGGCATCCAAGCCTCAGCCAGACCAGGACGACCAGTATCAGGTACGCAGGTCCGATGCAGTGTCCGAATGTGCACACACATTCCGGCGTTCTTTTCTTCTCTTCTTTCTTCGGCTCTTTTACGTGACGTGGAAGAAGCGACAGGTTTGCTCGAAAAAAAAAACACTGTTTATACATCACTGTTAAATTTCAGATTGTTTTGGATTAATATGTATGATACTCTGAAGCGGTAGATCTTTCGAAAACTATAACTATCTACGCTTAATCGCGTGATTCCAGGCTCGAAAGACGTTTACCCTGGTCGTCAGGCTGTGATTCTGTTCCGCGAATGGTCTGTACTTTTCTACCCAAATGTTTCGCTTGATCGATACGCCGATTAGAAAAAATTACTCCAGAAAGAGCGAGTCCTTTTCTTCTAATTAACGAGGCAAGTCCGGCAACTCGAACATTCAAAGATATTTCAAACTTTTTTTTACATTTCAGACTTGTGGTTCTTAGACTTGCGAAAGTGTTTTCAGTAGGACGTTGCGTTTTCTTCCAACGCTTCGTGAATATTCCAAGACAGTTTCGGGTTCATCTGGAACTGAAAGTGAACTGGAATGTTCGCGAAATGTACAAAGCACGACGTATTATTAAAAACACGATCGAAATCTGAAGAACCACAAATATGTCACATGTGAAACTGTAAAAACGTACAGCGGCTGTGAAAAGTACTTGCGTGCTGTTGTCATTACTGATTAATTAGGCCCAGGTACGTGTATTAAAATTGAAATGATATAAAAAATGTGATACTATGAAAATACAATGTAGGTATAAGAACCAGATGAGAAAAAGGCTTCAGGAAAACAAGACAAATATTTTTGGTAGTATTAGCGACACTAGCAACAAAGCCATTTTTGTTCCAGCGAATGATACGAAAGGAAAGCTCAGATTTTTAATTTTGCCAATGTAATAACGATGATACGAGCTTGAAATTTCTGAAAGTTTCGTATAACGCGTGAAATATATTGTTAGAATTTAATCTTGAAATTAAAATTAATAATCTGTGGAAGACACAATGTTTATGTTGAAATAATATTATGTGATATTTATTAAACAAAAATTACAGCACATATAAGTGAGTGTTATGGAATGTTGACAGTTGGCTAGTTATTCTCAGACTGACTGACTTAGTGACCCATGGCCCCTGAAAAGATTTTGAGCCCCACTCTCTATGCAGTAATGAATGTGACTTGTGTAGATGCTGTGTGGCGCTAGTGGGGATATCGCTGGGCAACGAAGGGAAGAATCCGTTCGATCAATCACCTCATCTGTATGCGATTAATATCGTTGTGTTGCAACATATATAAATATAATGAAATTCATAAGGTTTGTCGTAAGTGTTGGAATGTTTACGCCAGCCACTGTACGTTTCTGCAAAGTTACAAATATCTTTGAATCTTCAAATTGCCGAACTTTCCCTGTCAAAATTCAATAATTCGATCTAATCATTTTTATTCACTTGGGAAGCTTGGTTACCTATCGTGCTTTCATACTGCTTTCGATAAGCTTGTAAAATTCAATACACGAGCGGCCAACTGCTCGTGAATTTTGGCGAAACACCGAACAGTCGTGGTTTGCGCGAACCGTAAAATAATTTTACGCGTGTTCGACCCCGAACCGAAGATTTACGAATTCGGGAAATTAGAAGGACGCCCAAAAGTGAATTGGTTTCCGAGGGAATTGCTTGTACATGATTGAACAAAATCGTCGTTCCGGTTTTTCGCATGTCGTAACGCGATCGGACATTCTCCACGTTCCGGCCATTAAGCACGATAAACACGTCCTTGGTGCTTAACATCACTTTGATTTTTCTTATTCGTTAAACAACTAGTTCAGTTCGGTTTACAAAACGTTGAAAATTAAACTTTATTATTTCATCAGGCATGTGAATAGAATTTTTTGTGAAATGGCAAGAGGTTTTTTCTCAGGTAAAATTAACAAATAATCTTCTCCTTTGATGAATGATACAGAGAAAGAATTCGATTTTTATTTTCACTTTTGGCGTTTCCTCTTATGAAACTGATAATTAATTTCCTCTCTTATGAGGAACGAGGGAAAAATTTACGTTCACCCCACAAGGTGTATGCTTTTTTCTAATGAAACTAATAGACAATGACACTTTTTAATAAACAGCAAGAGAATAACGGATACAAAGGATATTTCCCTTTGATAAAAAGTACAGAATTAAATTCAATCTTCTCTCTTAAAGCTCTCCTGTTTTATTTGTTAACTAACAAACAGTAAAAAACGAAGAAACAACTACATTCGATCTTTACGTTTCCCTGGAACATATTCTTTTTTTTTCTAATGGAACTAACAAATAACGATTTCTTGTGGTAAAAAGAAATTAAGAAATTACAGATTTAACCGTGATTAACGATCAATGCGCCATTTTTAGTGGATTCCTGAAGCAAAATTTCATTACGCGCTATTCGTGCAAGAAAATATCAATCTGTTTTAAACGCGTGATTCAGGTGGACACGAAACTCGTTCGGGGATTCAAAGTATCGAAACTCGACCGACAACCACCCCGTAGTCCGGCCGTGATACGTCCATGATAAACAACTTGGCAAACATCGTTGTCCACGAGCATCCGAAATATCGTATAATTACGATGAAACTCTGGCTAGAAGCACGATTCCCTCTAGGTAAATCGAACAGTTCAATGAACGACGTTTTCGCGATGTTTAAATGCATCTCGCTGATTATTAGACGCTTTAATTAAGAATCGAAGGCAGAGGGTTGGAAAGGGATGGAAGAATTTCGTCGGTTCTGTCTTCTCTATTTAATAATCCGAATCTTTTGTTTCCAATGTTATGTTGGAGAAAAATTTGAAAAAAATTACGTGTTACATTATTACGACGAATAAATGTTGTATATGAACGAATAAAATTTATAATTCAATATAAATTTAATAGAATTCAATATGAATATAAAATTTTATTGTATCAAACATGAATTTCTTTTTGGATTTTATTATAATTATATAAAGTAGATTTAATAAAAGTCAGATTTAAAATTTTATTTTACATACGTAAAGCTTTATTTTTGCTTAATTTTTATAAGTTTGATCAATGATAATGTAATCACGTACGAGAATTTGAAACAAAATTTCTCGCAGAAGGTCTGAAGAATTTATCGATCGACGATGTTTGCATCAGTCTCTCATGAACCGACGTTGTTCCCACTTCTCGAGCAATTCTGATTCATCGATGTTCTCATCAACTAAATTATCTCACGTTCTTTTCTATGCTTTCTTCTCTTTAATCCATTTCTCAAATTTTGGTTGCAGCATGCGAGCTTGTTTTCAGTTGATCGTTGCTAAACTCGGCCTCATTTTGTCCCTTTTAAAGCAAAACTAACATAGCCTTCGTGATCTCCGCATCGCCATCTAACTTAATGCAGTTGATTTTCATAGTTTAGTTGAAGTTCGTAATTTAATACAAATAACAGTTAACTAAGTTTTTATCCTAATCGTATAAAAAATTCCGAGGATCGTTCAAAAACGCAAAAGAAAAATTTGGATCGATCTTTCCATTACAAGAATCCATAATCCATCTTCGATACACGTACATTTTAATTCCATGAAAATTTCCTCGAATCGTCCAAGGTTCCAAAAGTAAAGCTAAAAGAATTCACAATCCATGCTTGATAATCCATCGATTGTATTAGCTCCATCGAAAATCCCAAGGATGAAACAAGATTCCAAAGAAAAAATCTCGATCAAGTCCCATTCGATACTTTTCCATTGGAAGAACCCATAATCCTTTGACCGTAAATCTTAAGAAGAAGCATAGTAGATTTTTCGGAGCTCGGTGGATCGAAGGATCACGAGAGACTTCGAAATTCCGCGAGCAACGGATTTTCTCTCTAATACTCGTCCCTCTGCGTCCCATTTGCTTTCAGATGGACCTGATTATTTCGCCGTGCCCGGCCCACGTCGAGGCAGCTCTTCCACAGGTAAAACCAACCAAAGAAGCACCACAGAACAGGCCACGAAGAAATCCAGAAGAAGTAAAGTGTTTTCCAATAGTTCCTAACCGAGGAAGACGTTGCTATTCACGTTTATTATTTTCAAAGACTCATGTGCGAATTTCAAAACCATATTCGGCGATTTTTTCGCGATTATTTCGCGAAGCGTCGCATTGCTCAAGTGTACAGATGCTGAGAATTGCTGAGAGAGAGAGAGAGAGAGAGAGAGAGAGTTTAGATAGGAATTCGTCGCACGTGATATTCGTTTTGAAAAAATTATTCAACGAAATGGTCGAGGCTTTCGCGTTGGATTTTTACCAGAATCTTTCTTTGAGAAATGACCGATATATTTCTTTAGATGCAAAGGTTGCTCGTATCAGAGATTCCGTAAATTCTATTGGCAAGCCTCGTTCACGAAAACCTCGAAATTGGATATTGATTAATTGTCGTTTGCTTGTTTCTTCGGTCGAGAGGTTTAATTGAAAGTTTTATACAGGTAGACTGGCAAGTTTTTCGTTGCAAAGTGGACAGATGTTTGCAAAAATCGCATAAACATCATCATTCGTATCTGTTTACGTGTTTACATTATTGACTAATTGGATGTATAGAATTTTTCAGTCGTTTATGAATTGTGTAAACGTACCAGAGAAGATTATCTGTTTCAACTGTTTTTAGACGAACATTTCTGATTTGGGATTGTCATAGCGAAGCGGTAGAAGTGGTGTAGTGAAGCTTGTTAAACTTCTAATATTCCAAGTAAATTCGCAAATTGATCAAAAGAACTTTCTCTCATGACGAACACTAGTTTTTAAATTATCGTGACTACGAATGAAACAGATGGGAACTAAACACGTTCGTGAAGTTTGCAGGGTAAATTCTTTCCAGAATATCGTTCATCAAGACGATGTAATTTGATTTGTCTACTACATAGTTGTACATATATAAGCATATATGTTGTAAGTATACAAATAATCTATATCGTCACAGAGGCTTCGAATTTTCTCAGCAATCGCATAAAATTCTATAAAGAATATACTATACGGAGTAATTTAAAAAAAAAATATACAGATGCGCTGTAAAAAATCTTCACACAGTCCCGGTATTACATCGATAATTGTAGATTCAACTTAAGTGTATTAGCTATCGACTGAAAATCTTCACTGATTTTCAACCAATGGGAAAAAGAATCGCTAATTAACCGTAAAGTACTGTACGTGAATTCTCTACGTAATTTAATCGCGGTTGATCTATAGAATATACTTTAGCAAATTGTATCATAATGTAGAAATTGAAATTTTCGCCATTTTAATTTCTCGTCGTTCTAGATCCTAGCTAATGGATACGAAGATTCCTACAGTACAGTTTTCATCATACGTTCAGGCATAACATCATTCCACGAGTAATGTAATTTTAATCCGCTGAAACATGGGAACATCTCGGTTTTGATACTTCATTCGCGAATAATATCGTCGATCGTTTTCAGTGACGTTTTAACTCGTCTTCTGGAAAACTGAAATAATCTCCATGCAAAATATTCAATTACGTTACATATAACCGAATTAAAGTTAATCCTCTGATGCATTTGCATGCTTTAAAGTATTTTTGGAATAAATGAATTTATCTTTTGTCACGATGAAACAAATTTCCCCTTTTAAATCACCGGTCTTCCAAATTCTCTGAGTAATCTAATGTTGTTTCTGCCTCATGCGACTAAACGTTATCGCGATAAAACAAACTTCGATTTTAATTCAGTATTCTTTGCAATCTTCTCCAACAATTGTGTTTAAATTAAAACAGCACATTCGCCTTGTAACTTCATCGCATAAATTAAAGAACGACATTACTTACGGAATGATCCGACAAACGTTCATCTCGTGGAGAAGAAACCGTAATTTTCAAAATTATGCTTCGGTGTGTTAGAAGAGAGCTTTCGAAATTACTCGACGATCGTTGTTAAACCATAAGAAATTTTAGGAAACTTTGCATTCCATCTTGTCGGCATTAGGAACTCACGAAAACTTCATGCGTTCAAGGCATTCATTGTTACGTAGACTATAAAGAGCTTCGTTGTAGTTTGATCTCTGAATGTGAAGACTCAATTAATTAGCTAATTAACGACGATGAACTGTGGCGAAGCTTAATGACATCCCTATCGATCGACAACCTTCCGTTCGAATTAATTATAGATTCGCTTGGATCTGTGCGATCAGAATGTGATTGAAAAGAATGTGTCTGTGTATATGCATATATATGCGCGTGTTAGTCATTGTTGGAGCGAAAAGCGTGTCGTGTACGTGGAAATAACGGGTGGTATAATTCATACGCGACTCTATGTCATCGTGGTGTTATATTTTATCCATGGAAAGCTTGACAAAATTGTCTTGCAGAGTCATGCACCGGACTACTGGATCAGATAGGAAGCGTGATTGTATGTAAATGATTTTTCTTCGTGTTTAATTTTATAGGAGAGCGTCCATAAAATTGTATCGATTTTTTACGCCTGCGTTTGCATGTAAATATTCGAATAAACTGTGCAAAATATATCTAACACGGGGTTTCATTGCGAATTATCGTGGCGAAGGGTTGTGCACTGCCAATAAAAATAATATTTCTAAATCTTCGATAATCCTTTGAACTGTGAATTATTCTCGTTCCAACTGTAAAATGTAGGATTAAAGCGAAGGAACGAGAGTTGAAGAAGTAGAAGAGTTTGGCAACTTTCGAAAGGTTTGGGGGATTGGACGGACAGGACAAGTTACGAATGGATACGTAGGGAACGAAGAAAAGTAAAAAGTGGGAATGGAGGAGAAGAAACGGAAAATTAAGGAAGCTAGGAAAATGAACGTAGGAAATGGGGCATCAGCAATGCGAAGAGAATGAAAGTAGTAGTAGATGTGAAACGGGAGAAAAAGTAGGAAAATGGACGCGCAAAGTGAAACATGCAGACAATTGCAAACACTTGAAAAACGTGACAAGTTAAGAAAGCTGAGAGGACAACGAAGACTCATAAAATCATGGAACTTCAAAGAACTGAAAAAAAGGCAATATCTTAGGAAATTCAAGAACACTGAGAAACTCACTTCTTACAGAGTGTATGAATTATTCTTTAAGGTGTCCCTTAAAGCGTTCCTGAATTTTTTAAACGTCTGTGAAAGAATGATCAGAATGCAATTTATATGACTTTTGAATTTTTCATCTCCTCTCAAGCAACGATATTCAGAACATTCTGCACATGTTCGTGAATATTTGAAGGGTAATCGAAGGTGATCATGCGTTTGCACATATGAAGAACGAGCAATCGATAATCGAACCGATAGGGAACCGCGTAGAAAAATGCACCGATAAATTCTCCGAGTAATTTCTACGAGAATACGGGCGATTAATGCGCGAGCTTCTGGGATCTTCGAATTATTCGATTCAAAGCTCGCGTCTGTTGAAATAAAAATGAACAACTTTCTAGCTCATCGAACATACTATTATGAAATCGAGCAATATGCAGCTTCCCAGCGTAAGTTTCACTATCGCCACGTGGCAATAGTTCGTTTCTTTCTGCTTGTCCACATTTTTCTTCGCGTTGGCCTTTTTCTTCACTCTTGGCGTTGCTTTCGTGCTTTCCTTCGCGTCTGAATCCTTTCCCTCGCTAATAGCTTGAAATCGTACACCGAATTCCACCTGTAACGCGAGAGACAAATTCTTGAAGCATTATCGGACTCTTTGTAATTAGAAACATCGAACTTTTCGATTTATTTAATTTTAATCGGACGTTAAAAGCAGAAGACTTTAGGAAACGTAGAAATCTTTGAAGATACGCAAGCGAATAGATCCCTTCAATTTGGAATTATGTCGTCGTTGTTCCTTTTCCGCGGTTATAATAATTAGTATTCTTGCGATATTCTTGCAATCGTTAATGACATTCTACGATCCATCTCGATGTTATATCGTAGAACGTAACAAATAAATGATGCTTTGAAAAAATGAACAATATCTTCGAAAACGCAACAATGTGAATGAAAATAAAAATGAACAAACGGTGGAGCTTTTTGTTTGTATAATAAAGCACGATTCATACGAATTCCATCACTATTCTATAACATCTCAGTGGATTTGAAGGAAGATAAAACTGCGCGCTCCATCCACGAGGTATAAGGTACGTATTTTCCGTATCTGATTACAGAGACACAGAGAATCTTGGAAATGCAGAAACAATTATTTTCTAAATTTATCATTCTGTGTTCTTCGCGAAAGAATTAAACGTTTAAAAGGTAGATACGAAACTTTGATTGATTGATGCTTTAAAAGTCAAATCTGTCGCTCATGAAAAATGCTGCCAAGTCGAAGTCATGTCTATGTAAATTTTCAATAAAACAAGCGCACATAGAACATGGGCAGGAGAAAAAGTTTTATATGGAAAGCATAAAAGAGAGATTTCCAATTGAAATCGTATGAGATTTTTATCATACCGTTTTCCTTTCGGGGACCAGTAACTGCATGTTCTCGTCGACATTCCAAAAGGAGAAACCGCTACGATCCTCAGATCGTTTGAGGTTTCCACCGAATATCGCCAATTCCTCGTTCGGTAACAGATTGTCGTCAAACTCCGCCTTCGCCGATTTTCCACTCTCAGCTTTTCCTTTCCTCCTTTTTATGGTGGATCTTTGCGGAGATTTATCTCGTGGGCGTGGGATATCGCCTTCGAGCACATCCATCAACGAAAGTCGAAAAATCAATGGACACGATCCGGTATTTTGTATCTACAATATTTTTGAACATAAAGTGACACGGGATACCAATTAATCAATTCGGTGCAATTCGACAGCTTGTTGATCAAACATTAAGCAGCCGGCGGGAATTTGAGAAATATTTATATAAATTCGTATTATTAACATAAATATATATTTATAATTTTCGTGGCGATGGATAATTCATGCGAATCGCGAAACATTCGAGAAACGAAGCCCTCTGAAAATCGGATAGCACGCGCGCAAAATTCCAATTGATAAATTGTGATTTACATATCGTAAATACAGTATGCGATATACAGTGAATAAAAAATATAATTGTAATATTATTCGAGAGAAAAAGATGAACAGTTCTATAAAGAAATATAAAGGGTCGTTGGTAACTGGTGGTACAAGCGGAAAGGGGGTGATTCTACGCGAAAAAAGAAGTCGAAAATATAGAATAAAAATTTTTCGTTCGAGGCTTTGTTTTCGAGAAAATCGACTTTGAATTTTCGCTCGGTACGCGTGCACTTTATCGCGTCTCGTTATAACGGATCTCACTGTAGATCGTTGTCTCGATGGAAAAATTAAAAAAAAAAAAATCAATAAAAGAAATTTTTATTCTATGTTTTCTTCTTTTTTCGCGTAGAATCACCCCCTTTCCGCTTGTATCACCAGTTATCAACCACCCTGTATATTATGCTGCTGAACAACGATTTAATTCGACGAAGTTGAGGATTTTGGTAAATTGCTTTGGACATTAGTGGTTTATTAAATTTTTAGAAATATCATCTTATCGAGCTACGTGTCTAAATTATGCCAAACTATTGTGAAGAACGGAGTGAAGAGACGGAAGTGGTGGAACAGCGAGAAAAATGACGAGAAAAAGGAAGAAGAGAGCGTTATGTTTCGGTGTGTACGAAAAAGATAAGAAACATAAAGATAAATAGAAGAAGATAAAAGAATTTAGTCGTCCCTGGTTACTGTAATTTAATCTGTACACGTTAGATGATTAGCTTGGTGCGACAGGTCATTATGAAACTTCTCTGGTGATTTACAATAATAGAATTCGCGTGAAAATTTATGCTATGCATACCAACGAAAGGTAACCGAAAATGTCTTGATTTAGTTATTTTAGTTGAAGAGTTTCCGCGAGATAAAAGATTTGGATTTTCGTCAAGAAACTGTGCAAATTGTAATATTATATTTCTACTTGAGAAAGGAAGCATCTGATGAAACAGGTCCTCGATATTACGGTAAAACAATACGAGGCTTAATGTCTTGTCTGAAGGGAACTCTTCATTGAAAAGTTCGCCATTGTACAGGTATAATACACGGTGTCATAACAATCCTTCAACGTTAATAAAATGACACGAAGTTTAATGTACACGGTTTGTCTTGCTTCGGAGTACTTTTCACTGGAAAGTTCACCATTCGAAAATTATACAATTTCTCAACGTTGGTAAAACGACACGAAGCTTAATCGTACACCAGTTGTAACAAAAGCTTGGAAATCTATTCGGCCAAAAGTTCACCATTTTACAACTGCACAATTTCTCAACGTTAATGAAACGAGACGAAGCTTAATGATATTTCATTTGTCAAAGAATTCTGTATTCAAAAGTTGCTCATTGTGTTATAAAAATCTCTTCAACATCCATCACATAGACATAATCTAAAATTCTTTTGATCACAATTATGCGCGAGACTTTTCTTTCTTCTTTGCAAAGAATTACAAAATAATTTATTCATCGAATTTATCAGGCCAGTTCATTATAATATATTTTTTTGTTTTTTTTTTCAAAATCCATCGCATACATGGAAATCATTTAAATTCCTTCGATCGCAAGCGCTCATGGAACCTTTTTCTATTCCTCGCAATATATTTTTCTAGAAAATTTATTCATCGAACTGATCAAGTAGATTTATTGCGCGACACGAGTTTTTCAAGATTCATCGTATAGAAATAATCTACTTTTCGTGGTTGTAATTACGCACCAGACTTTTTCTCACTCGTTATTAAATATTTCTTTGAAAAACTTATTTATCGAATTCGCGGAACTTCGATTTGACACTTTCCATCCACGACACGGCGTCGGTTGTCAAAGATTCTTGCGATCCAATTTTCTATACTTCACCTACGCCGTACAATTTTAACTTCACTATCCTTTGAAGAGTTCGTGGCAATGTTTAAAAGGCAACTTTGTTTGCAAGTATCCGACATGAGTCGTGTATCCGCAACAGGAAATTGTTTCGCTAGAATCTGGGGCGAGTTCGTGGCTTCAAAGCACTTATTGCAAGTCATCCAAGCTAACCCAAAAGGATTCAAAGTGCCGAGATTATATAGACATTAACGAGTTCGATCTGCGTGTTGGCTCGAATTTCAAACGGGAACGATTAAATTCTCCGCCTGGTTTGTTTAAAGGAATAAAACGTAGGGTTAAATAGGTAGATACGGTGGAAACAGTTTAGCAATTGTCAGTATTCGAGGATCATGCCAATTTATTTGCAGCCGTTCGTTTCTGTGTAATCCTTGATTTCCAGACCTGAGAATAGGTATTACAGAGATAAGGAAGAATTAATTACTGTCGGCGTGTTAAGCTCTTGAAGGGAGAATTCATTGACGACAGAAGATAATTATTCTATATTCTTCTGAGAAAGGTAACGCGATACAAACAATTATTAGAACTAAGTATTTCGTACTCTCGAAGATTACCATTCAGAAAATTAAAAGAAATCATCAAGCAGGAGCTATAATTTAAAATACATTGAAACACTTTCAACGATACTTCATTTCACTCAGAAAATTAAATAGTCGCCATTTGGGGAAAGAACATGAAAGAGTATGTTTCAATAAAGAAAATTCCTCCTCCTTAATTCTTTGGAATAGTAGCTGTCAAACGAAGAAAAAAATTGTCGAGGTGGACGTCGAGGGCAATTTAGGAGGGTGGGATTTTTGTCATTTATTCAGAGAGGGTGTGAAACTCGTCGAACGATCAAGGAACTCGTTTTCTCGTTTCCTAGATTCCAGCAACGTTTTCCTCATACTCGTACAATATAATATTAGAGATGACAACGAAATTACATTTCTCGTCGCGTCCGTATCAAAATAACAGATAATCCTTTGACCACGATAGAGCCATTGGAAGTCGTCGCGAAAGGCGCGGATAAAGTTATCGCCATTTGTTGTCCTTTCGAATCCGATACTCGCCTCCAGTCGACGATTTCCTGATTTAGAATAGCATTTTTCTAACCAGACAATGGTACACCATTAGGAGAACAATATTGTAAGCCGTGAGCTGTTTTCTTATATGTTTCGTGTATCTTGCAGAAGAATGGGATTGAATCGATGGTACCGTACGATGGACGGATTTCGAAAGAAAAGTAACGTCCACGATACCGAGAATTATTTTTAAATTGGAAATTGGATTTTTAATTGCAGTCTGAATATTCGTGGAAAATTAGCTTTACTTATATTATTGAAACATGAAGATTCCTGGGAAATTTAGAGGAAATGAACAAATACTCCAGAGAAAAGAATCGTTGGAAAAATCTACGAATTATGATGATGTTGTGACGTTGATGATGGTGATGTTGATGTTGATGACGATGATGATGAAGAAGTTGAAGTTGAAGTTGAAGTTGAAGTTGAAGTTGAAGTTGAAGTTGAAGTTGAAGTTGAAGTTGAAGTTGAAGTTGAAGTTGAAGTTGAAGTTGAAGTTGAAGTTGAAGTTGAAGTTGAAGTTGAAGTTGAAGTTGAAGTTGAAGTTGAAGTTGAAGTTGAAGTTGAAGTTGAAGTTGAAGTTGAAGTTGAAGTTGAAGTTGAAGTTGAAGTTGAAGTTGAAGTTGAAGTTGAAGTTGAAGTTGAAGTTGAAGTTGAAGTTGAAGTTGAAGTTGAAGTTGAAGTTGAAGTTGAAGTTGAAGTTGAAGTTGAAGTTGAAGTTGAAGTTGAAGTTGAAGTTGAAGTTGAAGTTGAAGTTGAAGTTGAAGTTGAAGTTGAAGTTGAAGTTGAAGTTGAAGTTGAAGTTGAAGTTGAAGTTGAAGTTGAAGTTGAAGTTGAAGTTGAAGTTGAAGTTGAAGTTGAAGTTGAAGTTGAAGTTGAAGTTGAAGTTGAAGTTGAAGTTGAAGTTGAAGTTGAAGTTGAAGTTGAAGTTGAAGTTGAAGTTGAAGTTGAAGTTGAAGTTGAAGTTGAAGTTGAAGTTGAAGTTGAAGTTGAAGTTGAAGTTGAAGTTGAAGTTGAAGTTGAAGTTGAAGTTGAAGTTGAAGTTGAAGTTGAAGTTGAAGTTGAAGTTGAAGTTGAAGTTGAAGTTGAAGTTGAAGTTGAAGTTGAAGTTGAAGTTGAAGTTGAAGTTGAAGTTGAAGTTGAAGTTGAAGTTGAAGTTGAAGTTGAAGTTGAAGTTGAAGTTGAAGTTGAAGTTGAAGTTGAAGTTGAAGTTGAAGTTGAAGTTGAAGTTGAAGTTGAAGTTGAAGTTGAAGTTGAAGTTGAAGTTGAAGTTGAAGTTGAAGTTGAAGTTGAAGTTGAAGTTGAAGTTGAAGTTGAAGTTGAAGTTGAAGTTGAAGTTGAAGTTGAAGTTGAAACTGAAGCTGAAGCTGAAGTTGAAGTTGAAGTTGAAGTTGAAGTTGAAGTTGAAGTTGAATGAAGTTGAAGTTGAAGTGGAAGTTGAAGTTGAAGATGAAGTTGAAGATGAAGTTGAAGTTGAAGTTGAAGTTGAAGTTGATGTTGAAGTTGACGTTGATGATAACAAATAGTTTTGTAAGAATAATATTTTGCATAATATAAACAATTATTTATAAAATGTGCAATCTATATTTCCAAGTATTTTATCGTAACAGATACTCGAATTTAATTAAAACACTGTTTCTGCGATCTAAACACATGAAAAGTTTATAACATAGAGATACGAATATTTAAAAGAAATATTGATCATATAGATATTTCTCTTAATTATCCACGAATTTACTGAGCAAAGTGTTAAAAAGGTTCGTGATTCCTTGCGCGTAACATCCGGCTCACATGGCATAAGCCGAAAGAGAACAAAATCGTTTAGTGTTGTTGACACGGTCGTCGATTAGTTTCGTGTAGATTGAATAAATTTGCAAACGTTATACATATCCCGTATATGCATATCCAGCGAGGATACAATGAATCATAGAGAGAGCACGGATCATTTGGGAGTTACGTGAAACTTCATTGTTTAGTACCTTGTATGAAAATGGTAATCGATAAAATACGGACGAAAGATAATGGATCGCAATTAATTCGTCGCGTGGTGGCATTACCGGGAGTAATTAGAAGCCTCTCATGCGTCGCTTCTCCAATTAATCTTGAAACAACAGGCTCATACGTTTTCACGATCCAATTACAATTACATTTGTGGTGATTGCTCTTTCTGCATTAAACTGCACCATCCTTTATTTAGTTATTTGTTCGTTGAGAATCAAATTATCCAGTTAATTAATTGCTCGTAATCGGTGTTTGAATGGAAAATACAGGCCGCATAAATTAAAATACATCATTCTTGTTGACAATGAAGACTCAATAAATGTTAAATGCTAGATTATTATTCCTTTATCAAGTTTCTGACCAAATTTATTCTCTGGTTTCTGTACTTTTTCTTTTCTAATAGGGAAACTTTAGAAATTGATCGAGCAACTATTTTATCACGCAAAGGTATACGGGGAGAGCTTCGCTAATTATCCGCTGTTGATAATTAACAGCGTAAGTGAACGAAGATATCTGTATACATCGTATACGTATTTTGTGCAATGTTAAAAGTTTATAGAGTAAAGAATGCAAAAATATTTACAATGGTTGTTTCAAACTTACAGACATCCTTAGTTCTATGGATTTCTCGTCGGTAAGTTCGAAACGAGCAACCCGAAATCGAGGCTTCAAGACATAAGATGGCACCACTCCTCGTCCCGTAAGTTTCACGCTCCATCTCGTTCTCGTTCTGGAACTGGAAACTTCGAAATATTCTTGATTCTAGCAGAAATTAATTCGCTTCATTATTTGTTTCTAATGTGGGCTGCAGATTCGTAAATTTACAAAAATTTTATATCGATAGTAACATAATCCAATTTCCGTTGAAAAACGTGAAAGATTCTAGAATACATCGATCGACAGATATCGTATGAACTTAGTTCCAATCGCAGAAGGAATTCAAAATTTGTGTTTTTACTTTATTAACCTTGTCAACCTCGTTAAAAGCCTTTGTTCATGATTGCAATATGTAATTAAAGAAATATTTCCTAGGTAAGGACAATCAATAAGCAAGAAGATAAGATATCAGAAAAGGATAGTTATCGCTAGATGTGGATTTTTGTCCACTTGTTGGAAATTTTCTACATAACGCTACGTTATATAAGATATATAAAACTATACAGAGTACGGTACTCACTATAATATTCATTATAACATACGAAATACAGTTTATAGCATTATGGTATAGCGCTCATTATAATACGTAAGACAAATCTTTTTAATTATAAAGAAAGTTTAGTTACAAAAAAGTTAGCGTTGAAAATACGTATTGCATAAGTATCCGCAGTCGTATTGTAATCGCACACGATTAATGTTAAAAATTTGGAAATTAGCAGTTGAGGAAGATCGATTAAAAAAAATCACGATGTCTTGTGGAACCAAAACGCAGTCGTTTAAAATTTGTCGATGTGCGTGCAAATGGCGATGCCAATGCCTAATTGCACGCATGAAGAAGCCTGGTGCGCCATTCGGCACCGGATCAAAACGTGGCACACACATTGGATTACACCCAAAATTCTACACAAACGATCCAGTGTCATCAATAACAGTGGGATCGTACGATCCTTTGATTGCTAAAAGCAAATCCACTGGCATCAGGTATATTTCCATTAAATGCTATTAACAATTAACTCTTTGTACGTTTTTATAAAAATGCCACTACACCGTTTTAGATTTCTTTACGACAATTCACGTCTTTAAGATGAAAGTTTATGCACAAAATTTTAAGTAACAAAGCTTCGGACGATAAAGGTTCAGATATATGGGTTTAACCACTCGTGACTGCTTTTCTCATTTCTATATCATCAGATTATAGTACAGTTTTACGTAATTTTCTCGTTCAGATTGCTTAAAATTGTACTTGGTACGATGCAGAATGAGAAAATTGAAAATTTCGGAGATGTAAGAAAATTATCGCTGCGTATCTGATGTACCAAAATTCCTGCATGAAATACGCTGGTTACCCAAGAATCGTGAACGTTTTGGTCATCTGTACAAGAGTTAAACCTTTTCCTATTATATCGCGATTAATGTAGAGAAAATTTGTTTCAAAATGAAAACTAGCTGGAAGAAGGAGTTGGAGTCTGAAGAATTTTCGAGGACAATGGGAGGGAGAGTAGAAAAATATGCGACGCAGAAATACCTGATGAAGACAGGACGTGGTCCAGGAACCCACGAAATACCCCAGTGGCCTGATATCATCCTGAACGAAGCTTGCAAAGCTGTTAAAAGAAACGTTGGATTTGGAACTGTTCCCCTTTTCCAACCTGCTTGGCCATCGACTACTCCTGGGCCAGGCGAATGATTCGAAATTATTTCTTTATAGATATAAGTTGCTTGATAAATCTTACTAACTCTCTTGATTGTTTGTTTCAGGGTATACAAGGAAGTGTCCTTATTACTACGTGGACAAAAGAAGACGCGAGGGACAGTCTTGCGTGCCAACTTTTGAATACGATGGTTTGCGGCCTAGATTCCGTACTCTAATGAAACCTTGGACACTGCCATGCAATTTGTTCGTAATTTACAATTTTACTATCTGTCAAGAAGATATGAACATGAAAATTTGGAACTGACGAATTATTTGTCTTTTTAGGTACGACGTGAGACATCCAAAATCTCTTGAAACTTACCTGGAGAAGGTTACTGGAAAAAAAGGACCCTACAATTTGTTCACAGGTTATTCAAGATCGGTGTTACGCGTTTCAAATATTCTACATCAATCGATTTGTTTTCAGGGCCAAGGGATGAAAGCACGATCAAGGGCTATTTTGCAACTGTGAAATTGGAGGATCATGGAGACTGGCCCAGATCGTTGCCAGCAGAAATGGACAAATTGTTGCATAAATCGTATTATTTTAAGGGACGTTGGACCACCTGTCCAAGGTATTATTATCAAAATTTACATTTATGCAATGTGAGGTATTTATTCCGCAAAAATATTAAGAGGAGAAAGGGAGTTACATTTCTATTCCCCCGAAATGAATATTCTAATTTTTATAATAATCAAAAAATAAACGGTTATCTCTCGACAGATTTCCTAAGGTATCAGGTACCAGAGCGATGTTGAAAGATCTAGCGTTATGTTACAAAGATCCAAAGGAACCAGGACCTGGTCATTACGACCCAAAATCACCAAGGAAACCAAAAAACACGAAGAATTATCCTTTCAATATAAACGTTGAATTTGTCAGGCCTGGTCCATCTTGGGAAATTCCTGGCCCAGGAAGGTACAAAATCAAAGATACGCGAACTATAGAAGGAAACGGATGGACATTTCTTTTCAAAAGCAAGGCGCCACGGACAGATTTTATTAGAATCCCTACCTACAATGCTTTTTAATTTTTCCTCCCAATTATTAAACAAAGGATTACATTCAATTTAAAGATAGCTCACTTCATCTTCGTGATTTTCTTCCGGCTGATACGTAACTGGAAGCTTCAAGATGGAACCAGTTTCGATCGTCCTTCCAGGAGGCACGAAAAATGGTCCAAATGGATCTAATAAACTCACGTCTATCTTCACGTTTCTAATTGAAACGAATACCAATTTTGAAATCATTTTCTTAAATATTCTCATATATATATCTTATAACATTTATAAAATTATTATTCTTCTAATATTTAACATTCGAATTTTTAATATTAAATATTGTTTAAAAGAGAAAGATGACAAATTCTTATTTTAGAAATCGTTCGTTTTTTATTTATGTTGGTACTTACTGATTGGAAATATTTTTCACGAAGAGAAATTTTCTGGAAGATGTACCAATCGCTGTTGGTCCAAAGGCAATTTCACGATCCTCGTTCAAGACCAAGATTTCCGGTCTACTAATGGGGCAAATTAATTTCACAAAAAGTAATTCATCGCGTTTCGTTCCATCCTTCGTTTCTAAATCGATCGTGCATGTCACGAAAATCGTGGAAATACAACGTTCGAAAGTTTCCAATAAGCTGATTTCGCCAGTTACTTTATCAACTTCAGGAATCTTCTTCTCCTCCACTTCTTTCTTCCTCTTTCTTCTTCCTGCTTTTAGAAGAGTTTAATTATTCTTTTCGTTGTGAATTTTTCTATTTTATATTTATTACTATCTCAGTTGTACTTTTGAAATGTTGGAAATTATTGAATTTTCTTATAAATATCGTAGAAATCATATTTTTTAATTTCTTGACATGGAATTTGCATCCGAAATTGACTGGTCGTTTTAGCGTTAATAAAAATACCTTCTTTTGCCGGTTCGTCGATTTTTTCAGTCTTCGTCTCCTGCTCATCGACGTTCATTTTCAATCTAAGACCGTTTTCGAAAATCATATTTTTCGGTAACTTTGGCTTGAACATGAAATTTACAGCGATAAACTCATTGCTCTGTAAAACACCAGACTGTGGCATAATCTTGAGTCTATCGGAGGAACTCTTAAATTGGTAACGAGCTGTGAACTCTTTACGTTGATTTTTTATAATTCCGCAGGTGCAATGAGGATAGGAAGCCGCGTTGAAGCCCCTCAGATACACCGAAGCCTAATTTCGTTTATTACAACAAATTGATTGGTTAATATATTTTATTTTATTTATTTATTTATTTATTTATTTATTAGACACTTGTTTATCTATTTACCATTGAGAACGAACCACAAGGGGTTGGAGGAAATTCGATAATTTGCTCGCTTAGCTCGCAAAATGTGTCTATAATGTACACATAAATTTCTATCGAGTTCTTCTCCTTTCTTCTATCCAAATGATGGAACTTTTCTATCATAGCATCCGTGACTTCTTTCTTGTCTAATATTTGTTCATAAAAATTACGATTTCTTACGACTAGACTGCGAATTTGTATGCAAATTCATTTTTTTATGAATATAATTAAAAAACTGAAGCGTAAGTAGAGAATTGTTTTACCTGCTATCACTATAAATTTTACAATCAGTATTATACTTTAGATACTCTATATATTTTTGCATAGTATGAAACCAAAGATTTCTTTAAATCTATTTCTAAGCTTGATTTTTTATTTTTAGTATCTGTGCATTCTTCAACCTTCGAATTTCCAGTAAATACGCACAAATCCGCAGTTTACTTCTATCAATTTTTATAAATTGATCTGAGAATAATCTTTTACCATCTGGATCTTTTTCGTTCATCACAGAATCATTGCTTAATTGATTTTCCAGATTATCTTCGTCCCGGTCAGTCATTCGACGTATTACTTTGGGAGTTTTAAGGTTCATAGGCACTGGTGGTGGGAGTCCACGATACCGTGGAACTGTCGATTGCCTGTTTATTTCATTCTTCAGTTTATTCAATATTGTTCGTCCTTTACACCCAGCGAGCTCTGCCAAAGTAACTACTTGCACTTGGAAGCTGATAAAAGAGATCATTCATTGATCTTTGTGAATGTAACAACAAAATGAATCTACGTTTTCTGAAAGAACTGCTAAACCTTCGTTCACCGGTCAATCCATTTTCTCCAATCTCATTCCCAGGAATGTCTGTTAAGCATGCAGAGTAAATCAGATGAAGTTTGATAGTTTCTCCAGGAAGAATGGCACCAAAACCATGGTTTGGATGTATTTCCATAGACGGAGGTAAGTCGATAAAGGCGTATTCTTGAATTAATAAAGACTCGTTCGTTAGTGTTAATTCTGTGTACACAGACTCGTGTGTGTGGACATATCCCAGATCGACATACGGTGGTTCTGCAAAATAAATAATACAAAAGAAACCTAAGATCTTTCTCATCTAGTTTTAGGCTCTTATTGCTAATATTTTATTTTTATTTTAAACTGTTTTTCCATCGACTTTAGTTTTACTAATTTCAAGCTCTATTTTGCTATCTTTGATTTGGTCAATGCATTTTAAGATTTATTTATCTATTTGAATATCCTTTGGCATTTTATTCTTTTCTTTCTTCGTTTTTTTAAATTAATGACTGACCTAATATTAGACCACGACACGTAGTTAAACTAGCAAGAGCTTTCAGTATCAATGGCGGTGGTTTCTTCGGTCCTTGAGACATAATTTGTACTTGAATGGGGAATTCTAGCATGCTGCACGTTGGATCGTAGAATCTAAAAATACAGAACGAATGTGTGAGTGACATATTAATTAAAATAAATTTCAATTAATTTCTACTATAATTTAGATGATTTCTTGTACCGTGTAGAGATATCAATGATACTGGATTCAGGTATGAATCTCACATTAACTTTCGAGGACGATTCAGATTGTACGATCGTTGACTTTGGATAAACTGACACTTGATTTCCCAAACTTTTTGGTATCTTCGTTAAAACTTCCACACTGTTACGTCCTAAAATACCAATCGCATTCTGATACTTTAATTAATATCGTAGCCACCTTTGATTATAAAAAGGTTACCATTATTAACGATAGTAAAAGATTGCTGACAAATGTCAGAATCGATCATTACGATGCCTAGATCAATACACGGTGGATCTAAGTGGATCTGATAACCAATCACTTCTGTCCAAATTGGAACACTCTACTTGAAAAACGAGACAATTTTTGTATTCTCTAGTCTTTAACTATTCGTATAATTTGCATTGTGAGTTACGAACCAATTTTCCAAGTGTCCTATTTTCAGTCAAAAAACAAATTTCCAACACTTCGTGGTGAAGACCTATGTATCTCGGTCGAAAAGTGATTTTTAAACGACACTTGAATTTTGGAGGTACTTCGATTTCATACATTTTTCCAGATTTCTGATTAACCGAGACGTCTTTGTTGTCATCCACATTCTCTACGCTTGTTTGTTCAGTCTCTTGTTTGTCTAAAAACACGTATACGTAATTTATCAGAGATGTTGCTGACCTGTGTTAAATATTCTAAACGTTTAGACTGACCGAAGCACGAAATGGACGATTTTACGCTTTGTATATCCGCCTGATCGAAATGCCATAAGAAAGAATGGTCACGATCGTTTCTTTCTTCAATTACAATGGAAAAGGATTTACTACCATCGTTGGAGATAATAAGAGTTCTCTCGTTGAATTTTGCGTTGTCGTATCTCCAAATCGGAGCTGAAGGGAACCTATTAATATAAATCGTGGATGTTCATGCATTCTTGGGAAATTTAAAATTTTTAAAATCTACAAAATCCGGACAAAATGTATAAAATATCTAAAGTGGAACACTTATAATATTTAGCGAGCGAAGCGAAATTTACAATTTATTTTTTCAAGCGTGTTCATAATGATACAAAATTGTATAAATATCTGCGGTCTATTCATCGTACTTTCCCCGTTGAATTTTGTGTCGTTAAATATAAAATACAAATTAGAACTGCATTATTCTCAACGCGAGGATTGATTGTAATTTTAATAAATAAATAAAAAAAAAATACCTGACTTCCTTAGGTTCCAAAACAGGTGTAGCACTTTGTGGAGCGCAACGAACTGGAATACGAAATTCATGAAAAGTTTCGGGATAATCTGGACTCAGAGTAAGGAACGAGATTTCTGCTGCCACTTCTTCCTCGTAAACTGGTGAAAATTTTACGTTGACCATCACGTCCAGACCAGGTTTGACCCTTGCAGCGTCCATAATGTCGATCTGAGTTCGAAATATTTATCGAATACGTTCTTTCTGATTTCAGTTATAAAATTCATAAATTAATCATTCGGGAACCTCGATGACTGCAGGCTCCCACACTTCTGTGTACACTTTATGGAATCGCAGATACGCCCATTTTGCTGCTTTGTTTCTGACTATCACTTTACGAGAATACTTCTTATTCGCTTCGAAGTCCTGATTAAATATACTGCGTGTTAATTAATTTAGAATAAAAATTCAAGAAGTAGATCAATTGAGAATACGTTCAGAATTAAACGCAAACACTAATTAAATTAGTATTGAAATTTCTAAGGGAACTGAGTTAGAATATTTACATCAAAAGTGACGATGCTTGGAATTGCAAAGAAGCAAGTGTCTTGCTCGAATACTTGTTCTATCGATGATTTGGATTCTTTTACTAGGAATTTTTCGAAATCTTCTTCATCTTCCAAAGTACGTCCCTCTTTTTTAGCTTCAGCATCTTTTTTAGCTTCAGCATCTTTTTTATCTTCTTTAAGATTCAATCCTGAATCTTCGACCTTGCGATCCTTTTCACTATCCTCCGGAACAGTTTTCTCCGTAATTAAAGATTCCTCCCCTTGAATCTCCTCGAAAAGGATTTCTGATAAACTTCCTTCGCTAATCTCTTTCAATTTCGTCTTCTTTACACACACGTCTTTTGGCTTCTTCCACAAACGAATACCATTGTTCATCTCTTGAGCGATCTTCGTGATGATTTTTATCAATCTTTCTTGACGAAGTCTTAGTTGTTTCTTTCTGTCTCGTTCGCGCTTCATTATCTATCGTATTTGATTAAAAACAATGTTTATATTGCACGTAGGAAGTTGTAGAAAATTTTGGGAAAAAGATTTCTCAGCAAAGAAGAACTAACTTTGTCGAAAATTATAGAATCAGACGACAATGCTTCGTCGATTTTATATTTCCATCTTATTCTGCGAAAAAAAGTGAAATTTTACTGAGTATCTTTTAATAATTATATC